AAACAAAAAACGAAGGGTCGGCAGTTCAAACCCACCAGGTGCTTCAAGGGAAATCTGTGAGGTCAGCAACCTTGGAAACCCAGAGGAGGGTTGCATGAGTCAGAAATGACCTCGTGACCGTGGGCTTGGGTTTTGGTTTAGAGTCATCCCATCAACAATGGAGGCTGTGGCCTCTCAGCCCCCACCAGCCATGGCCACTGCAGGGTCTCCATGCCAGTGTCCCCTGCTACCCCTGCAGGCATCGACTGGGCTCCCGAGAGCAACCGCATTGTGACCTGCGGCACAGACCGCAATGCCTACGTGTGGACACTGAAGGGCCGCGTGTGGAAGCCCACTCTTGTCATCCTAAGGATCAACCGGGCTGCCCGCTGCGTGCGCTGGGCCCCCCAGGAGAACAAGTTTGCGGTGGGCAGTGGCTCCCGGGTCATCTCCATCTGCTACTTCGAGCAGGAGAATGACTGGTGGGTGCCTGGTTGGGCTGGGCTGTAGGGGGCGATGGTTGGCCGGGCCCAAGGCTGCAGAACAAAGGGAGGGGCTTGAGAGGTGCTAGAAGGCCCTGTCTGGGTTGTCAGGACCTTTGTCACCTGCTCTTGCGAGGTCTGTCCTCTCTGGGCCTTGTAGGGTGAGCTCAGAGTCTCTTCCTAGTCCATGAGGGAACCCACACCAGAACCTGCACGCACACTGACCCCACCGCCCAACTTGACAGATGAGTAAACTGAGGCCCCAGTCACCAGCCTATCTGACTACAGGGCCCCCAATTACAAGCTCCCAGCTACTCAGAATCTTCTCCCCTGTGTCCTTGAAAGCAGAGACCAACAGCTTGAGTCTAGAGACTCAAGTTGGAATTGAGGCTCAGCAGCTGGTAGCAGTGTGGCCTGGTCAGGCGTGACTCCTTTTGCCGAGTTGTGAAGTCTGAAAGCACATTTTTGGCACTCTGTGGCACATTCACTGTAAGCATGAAGCCCAGGCTCAGCAACCACATCAGTGTAGAACTTGGTCTCCTTAGAAAGAAACAGAGGCTTCGCATTCAATGATGGAGATGTTGAAAGAGGCACTGGTACCGTTGGCACTCCCTGCAGCTGTCTGCAGAACACAATTACGCGTGTTCCTCGGAGCGTCTGGTAGAAGTCTGTATGCTCGTTTACTTCCCCATCAGTGTCATTACCCAGAAGAGTGGGTCTCAGAACAAAATCTGAAGCTTCTTATATTTCAGAACCCCCTCGGGGTTCGGACGAGGCCAAGTGCTTGTGGTTCGGTGGTTGCAAGTCCAAAAGATGAGTTAATTCCTTTTTTTTTTATGTTGGTTTTATTATTATTACTAATTTTAATGAAAATTTACAGATATTGGGGATTTCCATTTAATTCTTAAAGAAAATAACATTGAACTTGTATTAGTTCAGCTGCTTTGAACCTGCAAGCCATGCAGTTAGTTACTGGGATATTAAAAAACTTGGGAATGTTATCTATGAAAAAGGAGCCATTCAGCAGGCCGATAAGTAAGATCTGGGAGTTTCCCAGCTGTGGACACAAGGTCAGGTGATTCTTGAGACCTGTCAGGGATTTTATAAAAGAGAACACAACTGAGAAACCAGATGCCATAGGATTAGCCTGTATGTATATAACTTGGCTCTATGGGCTTTCAGTCAAGGTAGATTCTAGTCTTTTCCCAGGGTACCTCTGGGTGGAGTTAAACCTCTAACCTTGTAGTTAGCAGCCAAGTGCATTAACGGCTCCATTCTGGGATTCCAAAGGCAATGAAGGGTAGTGCCCACCCTACAAGAGGGGCCCGGTACAATGCAACCCCGAGCCAGAGCTGGGGTGGGTCAGGGACATGGGACGGGGGTGGTCTGAGGGGCTTTTGGGATTCTGGGTGTTAGAGGCCCAGGCACAGATGCTTACCTCACTGCCTGCCTACTCTCTCCAGGTGGGTGTGCAAGCATATCAAGAAGCCCATCCGCTCCACTGTCCTCAGCCTAGACTGGCACCCCAACAACGTGCTCCTGGCTGCCGGCTCCTGTGACTTCAAGTGCCGGTGAGCTTGCTATTTCTCGGGATAGATTCTCAGCAGTGCTTTTCCACTGCCGTGTCTTAATGACAGAAAACTTCCTTCCGAGGCCCTCCTCCGCCTTCTTGGAATTTGCTCACCTTCAGTTTCCCTTCTGAAGGGAGAAAATGGGACTGGGGTGCTCTTCAGAATGTAGTTTTTAGTTGCTGCCTGGCTGTTATTGTTACCTCCCTGGGCCATCAAAGCCCAGCTGCAGGTAGATGGCCCTCCTGGGTCTCTGCATATTGACCTAGGAATTAGGGCTGCAGATGGTACTCAGAGGCCCCTGGCACAGAAAGGATGTCTTCTGACGACCTCTTGGGGTTTTGCTGGTGGGTAGGGTGCTGGTTTGTAGGCCTCCTGCACTGTTTGGTAATCATGCACTGCACTGACTGGGAGGTGTGGAGGAGGTCAGGGTGAAGGGAGTACTGGCAAGCCAGGACTGGGCCATGGCGGAGAGTCGGGAGAAAGACAGCACATCTGAGAGGCTTGGGTGCCAGGCATCCCTGGGGTGGTGGTCAGTGATCACCCCTCTGCGCGTCACAGGAATCTTGAGCTTGGACACCTCCAAGACAGCTCCTTGCACAAAGGGGACACTGTGGCCTAGACCTGTCCAGTCATTGATCTAGATTGTATCAGCCCCAAATTTGGAGCCACAGACTTCCGGACCAATTCTCTGAAGTGGCCTCACCAGGCTGGAGTGGGAAGGGGATCCCATTTTTAGGCTGTCACCCCCCTTTTGTCCCTCCTGGCAGGATCTTCTCAGCCTACATCAAGGAGGTGGAGGAGCGGCCAGCCCCCACACCGTGGGGTTCCAAGATGCCCTTTGGGGAGTTAATGTTCGAGTCCAGCAGCAGCTGCGGCTGGGTGCATGGCGTCTGCTTCTCAGCCAGCGGGAGTCGTGTGGCCTGGGTCAGCCATGACAGTACTGTGTGCCTGGCCAATGCCGAGAAGAAGATGGCGTGAGTAGGGGTCACCTGGGTTGGGGGACAGGGAGACAAACAAGCGCAGAGCCCAGCTGACACCTCTCTCTCAATTAGCGTTGCCACCCTGGCCTCTGAAACGCTGCCCCTGCTGGCCGTGACCTTCATCACAGAAAACAGTCTGGTGGCCGCGGTAAGGAATGGGGGGGCACTAGACAGTTACAGCAGGTTCCCCCAAGAGTCCTAACTGATGGCTATGCAGGTCCACCTGTCCTCCCTTCTCGCCCACCATCCTGCTCACCCATGTCTGTGTTGGTGAGGGTAGAGCACGTTTGCGGCTGTTAACAAACCCCTTTCTCAGGGGGCTAACGTAGTAAGGATTTCTCCCTCCCTGCAGTATACGATTCCCTTCCTCGTAGGGGTGCTGTGAGGGGGGTCTCTGCTTGATGCAGATGGTGTCTGTCTCCAGCACACTGCTCCACCACATGGGGTGGTGGAAACTCCCATCCTGGATTTGGATGTTTTTTACCCTTTATCGGCTAGTGCAGGGGTCATGAACACCCTGTGCTCAGAAAGGGCATCTGGGAGTTTTGGGGGCCTATCACCAATGACTTCCTGCTCATGTGCCTACCCAGTTCATCCTCAGCTTCAGCAGGTATTTCAGGAGGGTTAGGGTTAGGCTTAGACTTAGGCTTAGGCTTCTAGGCTTAGGCTTCTAGGTTTAGGCTTCTAGGCTTAGGCTTATAGGTTGAGGCTTATAGGTTGAGGCTTATAGGTTGAGGCTTATAGGCTTAGGCTTAGAGGCTTATAGGCTTAGGCTTATAGGCTTAGGCTTAGGCTAATAGGCTTAGGCGCTTAGGCTTAGGCGCTTAGACTTATAGGCTTAGAGGCTTAGGCTTATAAGCTTATAGGCTTAGGCTTATAGGTTTAGGCTTAGGCTTATAGGCTTAGGTTTATAGGCTTATAGGTTTAGGCTTATAGGTTTAGGCTTAGGCTTAGAGGCTTAGGCTTAGAGGCTTATAGGCTTAGGCTTAGGCTAAGGCTTATAGGCTTAGGCTTATAGGCTTAGGATTTATAGGCTTAGAGGCTTAGGCTTATAGGTTTAGGCTTAGGCTTA